AATAAATGTTTCATTCTTTCGAAGAGGTTTCAGTTTCTAAAAGATAACACACGAATGTATACATATTTATGACATGCTCCAGTTTCACGTCTGCTTGGCTGCTAGAAATCGAAAACAAATGAAATTTCAAATCCTACTATCACTACATGCTGATATTTGTACACACGATAAAAAAAAAAAAAACCCATTTTACCCATTGATAATTGCATATTCGTGAAATTGGTGACAGTTATTCGGAATCACCTTGTAGAAATATGGTCTATTGATGGTCGGATCCAGGAATATAAATTTCTAAACAGATAACGTTCGCCTACCTAGAAAACTGTTCCACCTTCAACCAAAGATCCATAAAAAGACATCAGGAAAAGTACTTACCTGAAAAAAGCAACACTCCAAGGGCAAACTGTGATAATATTTTGAATTGAAAATAACGCTTCGTTTTTTAAAACTAGTAATAGTAGCTCATTTTTAATACGTAAAACTATTTATGCTACACAGGTTGTTTTTGATCATCCACGATTCTCTACTCACAATACAAACCGATAAGTTATAGGGTAAAATATCCATGTATAAAAAATAGTAGTACACTTCCTAACAACTAGTTTCATTATTATCTCACTTCACAGTTCTTGGTTCCGTTTGATCGTCCTGTTTCGGTCATACAGTTTAATTTTTATTTTGTGTGATCCCAAAAGCAGTACGCTTAACGTTGTTTTATTTATTCTTCTTCTTCTTCTTATTTTAACATCCTTTTTGTTTACAGTCTATAACAAATCTAACCTGCGCACTTGGCATTATTCCTACAATTTCTAGCTACAAAAAGAATTACACACACAATTACTTTCGCTTTTTGCACGTTCTTTCGTTCGGTTTTTTTTTTGCTTTGCTTCTAGATCCCATCTTAATGGTTCGATTCTCGTAATAATTAATATAATTATTGCAGCGTTCCTCTTTGCTTTTTCTTCTTCTATCAAACGGTCCTATGCCTAGCTTCGATTTTCTCTTTATTGTTTATCGTTTTGCATTCATCCCAGCATGTTTTGATTTGATTCAATTGTGATATCGTTTAGCTTAAGTACTATTTACAAAAAAAAAACATAAATGTGTGTTTAAAGGAAATTATTCCAGTATTATATAATACATAAACTAACTGTCATAGCAGCCACTTTTCTTCCAGTTCCAATTCAAGCCGCTCATCGAGACTGTATCTGCAGAATTTGCCTATTCTCTAAACGGGTTTTTGGGGTCGGGTTTATCCGGACAAGTAAATAGTTCAAAAAACAAGGTGCTAATCGCGATTTTGTGTTCATCATTCCTGTCTAAGTCCACCAGCTAATATATGCAGCTATCTGCTTTTTAAAATGTACGATTTTGTGTTTGCTATATGCACGTTGAAGTTGTTGTATCTCTCTATCAGACTTAAGCTACCAGCAATCTGCTATCTTGTTGCTGTTGTTGCACTTACAGTGCGCTCAGTAAAGGTATGTGATACTTCCAGGTTGCGATTGGCATCGAGCTCGGTACTGGCAGCTAAGCAACTGCGCTATACTACTCCTTTCCAAGGGGGGATACTGGCAGGCGTGCACCCCGGTGGGACTGGCAAATTATTCACCTCATTCATTCATTAACTCCTCCGAACAATAACATCAACAACGGAGGGAGAAATACGAACGGGACGTGGACAAATTGATTTTTTTTACAATGAATATGAGATTGGATCCTTCGAAACAGGAGGGTGTTCTGATTTGTTTAGGAGTTATTGGTGTGACTGCCAATAACGGGGATCGGGTTCATTGTAGCCTATTTGTTGCTGACACTGGACGAGCCAGACAGTGAGGCGCGCATTCGTGCCAGCCTGCCAGCGAACCCGGTAATGGATCCAGTTGCAGCGTGCACGGTCGCTGATCAACAAGGCACTTGGTTGCTATAGCTGCTGCAATTGACGTGCTCGATACTACCCAATCTCTTGAACTCATCGCAACGTGGAAGTGCATGAATGTAGGTATGAAAAAAAAAATCGTTTAAACTATTGTTGTTACTGCTGCCGCCGGTGCACTATGGGCAAAAATGGGTCCAAAATTACCCAAAATTCAATATCTCAACAGCACGCTGAATTCCGGCCATGAAAAACGACTTTTCCGAAGGGAAATCGTCCGGGGAATCGATTGCACGTAGTCCCATAGACCGGAGAGCCTTGTAGGTATGTGTTTTGGACCATTTTACCCCATTTTCCCCTACTTTTTGGAGGAAATGTTTTTTCACAGCTCTATTTTTCGTAAAACATAAGCAATTTATGCATGGTTTTAGAATACTATGTCTTTAAACAACAGTTCATGGGATATTAGGGGAATACGGGGTACACTTAATAGGGGAGTAAGTGGTAAAAGTGAAAAAACAATCAATGTTTTTTAATACAAAATCCTTTTTTTTTATATTTGAGTATTTTTTTCTTAAAAATACTTTTAATTAACTTTCATTTGGTATTTTGAGTTCCGTTATCGGCCAAACAGTTCAAAAGTTATAAATTTTTGAAAAAAATCGAAAAAAATTTTTTTTGTTTTGACCGCTCTAATATATAAATAGTCACCCTAATGACAAAATAAAAAATAAGGGTCTAATATGTTGCGATTAGGAACAAAACTACCAATTTTTACAAAATTCTGAGAACCACTATATCGTTTTGCTGTATACAGACAAAAAAAAATGAAAACTCCTTTAAAATAGATAGCAGTAAATTAAAACCTATTTAACCCCAATTAACTTTTAAATTTCAAAAAAATAACTTATTATTGCAGGCAACCTTTGGGTTCATTCAAACAATCGCATTGTTCAACATTTTTATGAATTAAAATAAATTTAGCGAGGGTTCACTTTTACCACTTACTCCCCTATTAAGTGTACCCCGTATTCCCCTAATATCCCATGAACTGTTGTTTAAAGACATAGTATTCTAAAACCATGCATAAAGTGCTTATGTTTTACGAAAAATAGAGCTGTAAAAAAACATTTCCTCCAAAAAGTAGGGGAAATGGGGTAAAATGGTCCAAAACACATACCTACAAGGCTCTCCGGTCTATGGGACCACGTGCAATCGATTTCCCGAACGATTTCCCTTCGGAAAAGTCGTTTTTCATGGCCGGAATTCAGCGTGCTGTTGAGATATTGAATTTTGGGTAATTTTGGACCCATTTTTGCCCATAGTGCGGTGGTTGACTGCCCCGTCTACATATCGCGCGTTACGTTCATTAAGTTTTATTAAACCTGCAAAAATAGCGTGGAAATGGTTGATCGTGCGAGGAACTTGGTGCTTTGCGCGTCCATGGAGAGGAAAGGTAGAAATTTAAGACTTTCTCGATGGTCGGTCGGTTGGTTGCGCTTTGCACAGAGTTACCTGCCTACCGACAGCGATCGGAAAGCTAGTGGCGGTGGTGGGCTGCATTTTTGAGCGAGCTTAGACACATGGCGTTCAATTATTTTCTTTCCAGGCAATGATTTAAACGATCACCCCGCTGCTACTGCTGCTGGCTTGGCAACCAGAGGAAGCGGTCGTTAGTTTCGTCGTCGGCGGTGGCTTTGGGTAGCGGTGGTTAGGGTTTCTTCTTATTAATTTTTTTTTCTCGACCAGGCAACTGTCGGGAAATGCGATCAGCTGGAAATTTTGACGAGAGACTCCACCGAAAAAGAGGGGTGGAAAATTACCCACTTAATGCGTGTGACAGGTTTCCGTCCCTACACGCGCACCGCTTTCCAGCCGTCTCGAAGTGAGTTTTCAGCTTTCTCTGCACGCTTTTCGAAATTTGGCAATTTTGATTTGATTTTTGATTGCCGTTTCCCTTTTTTTTTCGATTGGACGATGTCGACGTCTTTGGAAGGTGGGGGAAATGCACCGAATTGGATGGGTCTTTATGCGCCAATTTGCTGTAGTTTTGAGCAATAAGGTCATTGACGGATTGGATCGCAACGGGAAATTAATGAGTCGCTTGTCACAAAATAGTTGTGGTTTCTTTTACTGTAACATAATTCAGTAACCATCAAAGTAGTGGTGGATGGAAAATATGGCAATAGTTATGAAACCATTGAAATGGTATAGTTATTGCTTGCTTTTGAAGAATGATTTCCCTTTTTTGATTAATTGGTCTCTGCCGATACAAGGCAATGGATTTTAAAATTCCATCGTGTTATTTAGAGCTTAATCAATTGTTTTTACAAGTGTGTATCAAATATTGCCGATGTAAGCGATTTTTCGAATAAAATTTCACTTATTATCTTGCTATCATCCACCAAATCTAGCGCTAATTGCGTGTTTGCAGAAATTGAATTGAGCAGATTGTGCGACTGTAAATTTCCAGGCACAGCAACGAATAAGTTATGAAATAAAATCCAACAACTCTCTCATTGAGTCAATTTCTGAGGAAAATTACAGACAGAATTCCTTCCGAATGTATCTACAAAAAAAAATGAATTTGTAGCCGAACCAATTACCAGAGCAAGGATTGAGTGTTTAAAAAATAATCTCAATAATTGTTACATATTACTAGGCTTTCGGCTCCACTATGTTGATATGGTTAAGTCTTACCCAATAATTTAAATAAACAAAAGAAAAAATATCTCTTTTTAAACGCCAAAATGATTTAAAACCTCCAGAATAGCTTTTATTGCCCAATTGACTGTTATTAAAAGTCGGAACGTTAAAATTAGCTTAAAATTGCCTGAGATCTAAAACCATCAAAATAGCTTACATTTTGTATTCTTAAAACTCCAAAAATGGCATTCAAAATACAACAATGGTCAAATGTCCCAACATGATTAATGGCTCACAATTATAAAAATGGCTTTTGAAAACGCCAAACTTGCTTTAAACCATCTGTAAAAATCTTCTTACCGATAACCTTCACAAGGCCAAGATTATCTTTAAAAACGAACCAAATTGGTGCCGTTAGAAATGCCTAAATGGCCTTAAGACCGAAGTTTTTTTTTTATTTTTTTTTACAACTGCCAAAATAGCTCATAAATAGCAAACATTGGCAATGAAATTGAGAAACGCTGGCTTAGAGGTTAGCTGAGAAAACAGGTCAAGGTCATTATGTGGAGGAAATTTCAAGAGACCTCAATCAAATTTCGTGGTATTTTTTCAAGCAGTCTATTGATGAAGTACGTTGATATTGTTGCCACGTAGCCATGCTGAGCGCCACCAAGTTCTTCGCGAAGATCAACCTTTCAAATGAACCGTTTCCGTTCGGTAGAGCGACAGTTACCTTTTCGATCAGCATATAAAATCAACTATCAAATGTTACAATGTATCTGTTAATATGCCTTGAAGGCGCTGAACACTCCTAACGTCTAAGCCCTAGAGTCTAATATCGTGATGCACTTGTATCCTTCGAAAGAAAAAAAAAAATAACCTACCGAGCTACGTCTGTGTAGCAACTAGTGATGCACCGAACACAACTATGAATAAATACGAGGGGGTTTAAAAAAAAGTAACTGAACAATGTCACGAGATACAAGGTCGGTGATAATAGAGTAACAACAAAACAGAAAAAAAGTATCCTAACCTAAATAAAAATAGAAATCTTTCAAGATTCTCGTCACGCACAAACGCCAAACCGCGATCGCTCACGCTACTCACACACGCTCATTTCAGCGCTCGTACAAACTCAAAACCAGCAAGAATGCTCCACTCGCGCCCGCACATTCCACAAACACGACCGATCCCTGCACCGTCTTGGTCCTCTTGGCCTGACTTGGATCGCGCGGTTCAAAACACACTGCAAAATCTCGCCCAAAGCCAACGATCGTACGTGTACGTACCAGCGGAACGGCGCCCATTCATCATTCCGCCCGGAGGCAATGCAAAATAAAACAAAAACAAGCCTCACAGTCAGTCAGCCACCCAGCGCCAGAGTCAGATCCGCAGAGTTGTTCTCTTTCTCTTGCTCTTGGCGGGCGAGTTTGCTAGCTCACGTGCCACGCCAGGCTGTCTGCCTCGCCTCCATGCATGCGCTGGTCGCTCTCCGAGCTCGGCCGCTCGCTCGCACGTCACTCGACAGACAGCCGTCGAGAGCACGTTTTTATCTGCAGACCTGACCGGGCACCCGCTCTGACTCAACTTGACTGCGACTGTGTTGGGTACGATTGTTGACTTTGCGCAATTATTCACGATCACCGCTCTTCACGCTTCCTCTGCTGCAGACTGTGGCTGCTGCATTGATTGGTGCAACCGTCCGAAGCCGGTGCATATTCGACGCGAAGAGCGTGAGAAAAACTGGGACAGTGAAAGTCTTGAACCGCTGAACCGTCGTCGTTGTCGTCGTCAGGGTTCTAGCTCTATGCCGTTCGCGATCGCTCAATCTTGTGTAAAAGCGAAATACTAAGGACGAAATACTTAAATTAGAAGCAAAATGTGGCCTAACCGAACCTAATTCGTGTTGCGTGCTTTGCCGCGTGGGACGGGATCTTTCTATCTATTTCTGCGCTTACCTGTCACCTGTGTGTCACCCCCTTGAACCCCCCTACTGAGCTGGTGGCACAATTTGGCCAACGCGTCGTGTTCTCGATCCAAAACCTCTGCTGCCATCTGGTCCAATCGGGGTGCGCACTACGGCTTCGGTGGTCTGTCCATGCTGTTGGCACTGCATCTGGACGGCGCTATTCGAACGGGATCGTGGTCCTCCAGTGGAGTATTCCGAGTCGATTGAGATGCGTCGATCGTAGCCCGAGTCAGTTGAAATGCGTCGACCGTTGTAGTACTCGGAACCGTTGGACAGCTTTCTCAGCGGATCAAACCCATTGGAGTACTTCCTCGGGGAAATGTTGGGGCTCTCGTAGCCGACCGAGCCATTGGAGAATTTGCGTTCAAAGTTTGATTCCATGGAAATGCGACGCTGTGGCATAACCATTTCCGGAGAGTTGGTAAATTTACGATCGTAATTGGATCCAACGGAAAACTTGCGGGTGTTGTGCTCGGAGCACTGGGAAATACGACGGTAGACATCGGAGCACTGGGAAACCCGACGCGAACACGAGCAAAAGTCGGAACAGTTTGATGATCTTCGGGATGGCACTTCGGAGCAGTTGGACGCTCGGCGAGACATGTTGTCCGCCATGGACGAGCACTGGGATGTTCGGCGTGACATTTCACCACAGCTAGAATATCCTTCCGAGCAGCTGGAATACTTGCGCGATGGATCGGTGTTACCCATCGAGAATGAATTCGCGCGGCGATTGAAGTAATCAAAGTTTTCATTTCCGTACGAATACTTTCTCTGCTGTGGCGATTGTGGCATGAACATCGGTTGCTGCTGCTGGGCCTGCAGCGGAATCATCTGGGGCTGCATCGGTGGCTGCTCATGGTGCATTGGTGGTGGCTGTGAGACCATCTGCTGATAGATTTGCTGCATTTCCGACTTAGGATAGAAACCAGTCGATCCACGTCGCATCTTGAAGCGATCAAATGCTTCACCTCCGCGGCTACGTTCGATGTCGTGACCGGCAGCGAATTTGTAGTTTTCGACGAATTTGGTTACGTTGGCCTTTTTGCCAGTCTTCTTTTTCGGGGCCACTAGTTCCAGAACGATGAACTCGTCCATGTTCTGAGCACGACGAGCCGATGACGATTCGGTAAACTCGATCAGAGCACATTCGTTCTGCTGAAGCTCTGGGTGTTTGTTAATGAACTGACGGACATCGGCTGGAATGGGACCACCTGGACGTAGGATACGGATCAAAGAAATCTCACCGCATTTCGAGAAAAGTTCGGAGACTTTTTCCACTGTATATTTGTCGTATGGCAGCCCTGTTGCTACGACCGTACGGGATGGGGTCGTTTCGTCATACACCGGAAGCGCTTCCAGTCTTCGGATCTTCGTTCCCAAATCATTGAGTTCGATTTTAACGCTTTTACGTTTGATGGCATCGCCAACGACGCGCCAATCTTTCGTCAACTGACGAACACGCTTGAAGCTTGAAACCAACTTCAAGCTGACGAATCCTTCCTTATTGCGACGAACGTGTTTCAACAGGAAGGCATCCTTCAGGATGTTATCGTTGGAGAAGTAGAACTCTACCTGTTCGACGATCTTCTCGCACATGTCATCGTCGGGAACTTCGAAGGCTTCGTCCTCATTGGGTTCGGCATTTTCGTCCAATTTCTTAGTGATTTCGCAGCCGGAATCCTTGGCAGCATCATCGGACGAGCCAGCTCCGACATCTTCTGGAGGATTCTGTGATTCTGTGGAATTTCTTCTATCGAACGACAACGATACGTCGCTGTCGATAGAACTAATCGAATCCTTCGTTTCCGAATGTGACATATTTACCGTTGGTTGCGCTGGGCCCATGTGGTCACCATCCTCCATGTACAGCTCGTCATCTTCCTCTTCGTCATCATCTAGATCGTAATCGTGAATCTCATCGTGTCCGTGATGGTGATGATGATGGTGATAGTGATGCTGCGATGTCGGATCCTCACGCAGTGACTCCTGATGTTGCAGAAATGTGTGATTATCGGTCATCAATGGTGACAGTGTGTCAGGTTCTTCCGCATCGACGGTATCGTCCAGTTCTAGTCCCTCAATCTCCTGAATGGTTTCTTTGATAATTGTTTCACTCTTCATGATGAGTGCAACCGTTGTGCACCGATTTTCGGTCGATGGCTGTTGGGGTTTTTCGGAGCATTTCTTTGCCTCCTCGACAATGCCCGTGGCTGCGGGTTTGCTGCTCTGAGCAGCACTTTCACTTTCTTCTTTTTCCATAGGAAGCATATCAGTCATAGTGGCGGTTTCCACCTTTTCAACAATTCTTGCATTACCACTGCTATTTGCCACGCTGGTTGGCTCCACAGCCGTGACTGCTGGCGCCTCCTCCTCCGTCTTGGCAACTACTACTGCTAGGGTGACCAGCCGGGCTGATTCACCAGTCGGGGTACTTACTGAAGACATGTTTCTGCTTGCTTGCTAGCTATTCTCCACGAGCAAACACCTTGCTGGGCTGCAGTACAGCTATAATACGTATGTACTCTAGTTTTTGATTGCTTTATCGTAAGGTTGGCTATCTAATATGGCTTCGTCTTTGCTTTTCTGTGAGTTATTTACTTCAGCAGTGGTTCCGTTTTTTCTCCTTTCGGTGTAGTTTATCAACCTTCTCCTTTTGTTTCAAACGATTTTTTAAAATTAACAATGTAGAAAAAAATTAAATATTTCTGCACAGCCGATTATCACTGGGGTGGGTTAATTAATTTTTCCAATTTCGCTCCCGCACGAAACAATTTCCAATACTGTTATAGACGTTTTCCATGCATTAAATTCGCTACGACTTCAAACACTATTTTTTCCGTTTTCCTTTGCTTTCTTCGCCAAAGATTTTTTTTCCTCTTCGCTGAATTCATTCACCGAGTCCCCGTAGTCGTAGTAGTTGTTGTTGTTGCTGCAGTTGCTGACGTGCGGTTACTTTTTCTTTTCTTTCCGCACTTCTACACTCGTCAAAGTCTTTCCCGTCTTCGTCGTCGCGATGCTCGACGGTTTAGGGTACTTTCACAATTACACTTACTTTTTTTTTGCGCCACACACGTGCGGGTTCGTCCGAAAGATAGTAGTGACGATGCGGCCCGTGAGGAGGGGAAGCAAAATTCGGTTCAGTGCCTCAGTTTTTTTTCCTCCTTTCAAGTTTCGAGTTCAGTTTGCCCCACACTACTATATACTCTCCTATTGTACACAATTTCTTCTTGCATGCACTGTTGCAACTAACTATTGATTTGAATTATCGTTGATTAGAGTGAAATGGCTCAAAAAAGTTTTTATTTTCCGTCCGTTGACTTTTGTTCTCTCTCTTTTGTCGAAATTGTTGCACACACACACACATACGTTTTTCGTCAGTTCAAGGAAATCTGATGTATTCAATTTGCCTTTGTCTATTGCTTCTTCACTCACTTAAAGCACTTGTACTTCTTTTAGTCGTCGTTTGTGTTTACTTTGGAAGGTTGACTTTGTTCAAAATTTCTCTCTTTCGAATGTTAAATCTGTTTTTCGGAAAACTTAGCTACTGCCACTTTCAGAATTATTCCACATGAAGGACCTAGCTTTCCGAAAACAGGATACTAACGGGTGGCCAAACGCGATTTTTTGCTTTGCTGCAATCAGCTGCTTAACCCCCGGAGGTGGGTATCAATCTCTGCAAACATGCACACTTGCCTCGATCTGTCTGCGTCAACGCGTTCAAAATCAGCTTCAAACGTTCACCGTCACTCGAATCAGCAGCAATAGTAACGATCTCCAACTCGCACCAATTAAAACATCCATTCAACACAACAACAGATTAGCTTCACTTTTCCCTCACTTTCCTCTCGTCTCATAAAAAACCGAAATCGAGTAAATTGAACTTTTCCTCGAAATTATTCTATATTCGATCGAATGTTTCGTAACACGAATCGCACATGGGAGGAGTTGGGGGATCGATGATGAATGCGAGTGTTGAAATATAATAAATCTGGTGTCTGGTCTCTGGTTCAAGTAGTTTTCACTGTTTTTGATAGCGTACACGCGGATACATATGGAGCAAAACAGTACAAATCTTCAAAGGTGTTTCCACGACAAGTGTTGTTGAAAGACTAAAATACAGCATTGAAATTACGCCGGTTTTATATCGTCTCTCCCACCGCATTGCCGAAGCACGCATACAATCATGACGCGCTCCTCGTCGTCGTCGTGTTGCTTCTGCTTCTGCTCCGTGGGTTCAGTTTAGTTTGATGTTTTCGTCGCCGTCGTCGCCACTGCGCCTAGCTCTAGCTACATAGTAAACTAGCGAGAGAGCATACAACTGATTATGAGTTATAGTTTTGCTTGCTACTGTTACTTGTTTTCGCGAGCGCACGATCACCCTTCTACGGTTGGGTGGTATGCACTGAGTGATCATAGGTATGGTACCATACTTTAATTTGTTAATGCACTACATCTTTTGCAGAATTATTGGTAAAGTTAAAATAACGTAGAGTAAGATTTCTATCGTAAACTTCGTACAATTCTTAACCTCAATTCGAACCTCCCCCCACTCCCCTTCCAGTGTCATGCATTTTCCATACCTACTACTCGTACTACCACTAATTATATGACCTCCCCCCCTCAAGAGTGGACTTCATATTTGAATCTTCCTTTAGGTAAGGAATCCTAAGAGCTTGTTTTTGAGATTTACAGCTAGTGAAGTCATCAGAACTTGTCCAAGAAGTTCTTAGCAGTACTCCAAATTGGCCTATCTTTCTCCTTTAATTTAACGGATTAAAGTTGATTAAAGTTTTATTTGAAGATCTTGTATATCATAAAGGGTGTATTCGATAAAAATGGCACACCGAAAATCTTCTGTAACTTTTGAACCGTATGAGTAAAAAACCTAAAAATTTGAGTAAATCTTATTCATAGTGTATTGTTTACATCTGTCAAGTTTTATAGTTATTCATACAGTAGTCCCAGTCATGTCGTCGAAACAAGAAATTAACCGTGAAAAAAAAATTGAATACTTACAATCAAAACCCAGAGGCGTCCCGCCGATGGGGACATGTTGGACTGGTACCGTTTCAACTTATTCAATTTTAAGCCAAAAGATATAAACCCACCAAATTCACCGGTACTTCGCCCAATTGAAAAATTCTGGGCAATAATGAAGACGGAACTTCGCAAACATCCCAAAACTATTTAAACATAGCTGGAGTTGAAGAAAATTTGGGTAAAAACACTGCAAAAATCGGTTGCACAAAATTTGATGGTTGGATTTAAAAGGAAGGTAAATCATAACTCATTAGTAGCGGCACCGACCCCAGCAGGCCTGGGTTCAATCCCAGTCACTGCCACCGGGATTCTCTGAGGCATAACATCTCTGATCACGCCTTCCTTCGGAAGGGAAGTAAATCCGTTGGTCCCCGGTTCTTGAGTTGATGGGTCAATAGGAAGGATCCAGGTGTGGGACCTGCCTCCCTGGCGTCGGTAGCATTGGTACTCAGCACGGAAAACAAGATCGACGGAAAACAAATCAAAGGGAAAAAAATAACTCATTAGTAGTTTTTCATTCCCTGAAAATTTCAAGAAAATCCGATAATCGGTTTAATTTTGGTGAGTTGATATGTGTGGGCCATCTTTATCGAATACACCCTTTATTTAGCAGATTACAGAAGACTTTAAAAGCAAATTCAAGGCGTTGAAGTGTCGATGAACTTATGTGTCTGGATCCATGTATGTGCTCCAGGATTCTTCTGAGAATTTTGCGGATGGATCTTTGGAATTTTAAATCTGGATAGTGGGTCTGACAATTTCAGCAAATACAAAAGAAATTGTCCTGAAGACCGTTTAGCTTTGCCTTTGAACTATGCTGACTCTTGAGTCCATTTTTTTTAACATTTGCTGAAAGTTCTTAGGAATGGCATTTTGGCCGTTTGAGTGCCCAAAATTTCAATTATATATTTTTCGGGATTTCAGAGAACGTCGAGAGAAAATCCAGAGCGGATCGATAAGAAGTAAAATATTATTTAGGGGCTTTTGAAACCCGGTGGCTTTCTGAAACATTAACTAGGCATGGTAAAATTTTACAAAGGTCTTTGGCAATTTTTCGATTACGTTTTCTTTTTTCCTTTATTAGAAAGAGTTTTAGCCTTAGTCTGGTTCATCTCATTCAAATGATGGTTCTTGAGAACTACGGCAGAGAAAAATTATGAGTGAAAGCACGGTCAATGAGATCAACCCAAATTTGAGTTCAGTTCACTCATAATCGCAAAAAGTGCAGGTGTGTGATGAGTAAATTTTCCTCAGGTTTTCCGAAAAAAACCTGCCGGAAAATGAAGAAAAATTTCGAAAATTTTACTTAGTCTAGGAGTTAGTACCAATAGACTGAGAGAATCCAATCATTACTTTTATCATATTCACGATTTTTTCCTGGAAAAAACTGGAAAACATTAGGCAAATTCATTTTATAGCTTGTACTTTTTGTCATGTAAATTTGCGCCATTGGAATCAAATCAAAACAGGCGTAGCAAAATAACCTGTTTTGCTTTGAGCGTGTAGTGATTGTTTGAGATTGACCAGTGTGCTGTGAGAATATTGATATGACATTCAACTGCTGCAGAAGTGAACCGCAACCGATCGAAGGAGATCAGCGATGAAGGTAGCCTTAGATACGCCTCGGCGAACACTAAGTAATTGTAGGGACATCAAATTACAGCGACTTTCATAACTAGGGAGATTGAAAGGATCACTCCAGGGTAGCCAACGCTGAATGGCCTCAATAAAATTCACCCCGTTGCTGTTAAAAGGAGCCCATACTACGGAACAGCACTCTAATGTGGAGCGAACAATAGAGTGTTTTTAAACAGAAAATGTCCCTAAAGTCTTTTGCGAAATGAAAAATGAAACCAAGTTGAGAAGACGCCTTAGCGGAAACATAAGCCACATGGTCGTTGAAGGTGAGTTGTGAATCAAGTAGGACGCCTAAGTCTTTAGTGGTAGATTCACGGCTTAATATTTGCTCCTGCAGGCTGTAAGCATAACAGATACGTGATTTTTTTTTCCAGGAAAACGTTATAATGGCACATTTAGAAGCATTTAATACCATCCTGTTCTTGTCCCACCAAACAGTAGAAACGTCCAGCTGCCGCTGAAGAAACAATGCATCACTTCGATCTTTGACGACAAAGTATAGTTTGAAATCATCAGTATAAGACAGCTTCAGGCAACCCAGACAACCAGAATGCACGTATATTCAAAGTTGTTTCTGTGATATGCAAACATATATACAAACAATCAAATCAGGCCATATACGTGCAAATTTTAATTTCTTATACTTATGGCATTATATACGATTTAATCTGTCATAACAAATTCAATTTGAAAAGTCTTACGATGTAATCCGATTTAATTTGTGGTACAGTACAATGGAAAAATGATTCATCGCATATAAGTCGCAAATTTGCATTCTATACGATTTAACTTAAACACAATGCGATGTATGTCATACTTATATGCGATGTTGACTTAAACTGTAGTTGTTTACGATACTCTCTGTACATTGTTATGCGACTTCTGGTTGTTTGGGAACGGATCGAAAAGTGAACGTCAGTCAGATACAATAAAAATATGAACGGTTCCAGAGGACTACCTTGAAGTACACCAGAAGAAACAGCGAACGGTTGAGAAAAATGATCTCCAATCTTCACTGACATATGTCGACCGGTAAGGTATGAGCGAAGCCAATCAAAAAGGGAACCGTGAAAACCAAGTTGCTCTAGTTTGGCCACTGCAATCTCCTGATTGATTTTATCAAAAGCAGCAGAAAGATCGGTGTAGATAACATCCACTTGATGATTTTTTTCTATCTCGCGTATGATTGATGATGTGTAATGAACGAGATTTGTAGCGGTCGACCTCTTCGACATAAATCAGTGTTGTTCAGTCGCGATGTAACTAGAGCATGTGTGTTTTAAATAATCTAGTACCAATAATTCAAAAAGTTTTGAGACTGCACATAAAGCAGCGATACCACGGTAGTTGGACACCAACTGCTTATTGCCTTTTTTGAAGACAGGGAAAACAAAAGAATCCTTCCAGCAGTCGTGAAAGATCCCAGAATCGAAAGAGAGGTTGAAGATGGATGCTACGGGTGCGGCCAGCACTCCAATACAGTTTTTAATAACCGTGGAAGGGATTCCGTCAGGGCCAGTGCTGAAATTTTTTTCAAACGACGCCTGGTCTACGAACATCATTAGTCGAGATAGGCGGATGCGGCCCAACAGCAGAAAGTACGGGAACATCACTTACGGCGGCTACGATGTGCTCGTTAGGTAAATTTTCGTTGACGAAGACAATGCTGAATTGTGACATGAACAGGTCAGCTATTCCCTCCGTATCTGATTCTTGTTGATCCGTATTGTACATTATAGAAGTTAAGCTCGATTCCTTCCGTTTATTGTTTATTGTTTATCAGTCAACAGGTAAAATGTTTACCCCAATGACACCTGTTCTACAATTAAATACAAAACTAACGAATAACATAAATTAACATAAAACTTGTTTAAAACTACGCTTGTTTGTTTCTCGTGACACGTTGAAATCGTACACATAATAACACCGGTTGAATACACGGGACATGCTTCGCAAAGGTTCGTGAAAGCCATAATTAGTTCTTGCCGGAGGGATGGTGATAAACGAGTGCGACCGAAGATTGCGACGACGTGTGTTGATGTCCAAGAAACTAAGAAGCGTAGGACTGTCAATGTTGCCTTGCAGAAGATCCCCAACAAAGCACGCTTTTGCCACGTTGCGTCTTGCTTCTAGTAATTCCAAATTTATAAGTAGACAACGGCTTTCATAACTTGGCAGGTTGAATGGATCTCTCCACCTAAGATGACGTAGAGCGAACCGGACGAATTTACGCTGAACAGCTTCGATGCGTTGAGTTTCATTCTGGTAATAAGGAGACCAGACGATAGACGAATACTCCAAGATAGGGCGCACAATTGAGCAATATAAAGCTTTTAGGCAGTAAACGTCCTTGAACTTTTTTGCAAAGCGAAATAAAAATCCTAGTTGCGATGAGGCTTTAGACACAACGTACGCGACGTGATCCTTGAAG